AGCTATAAAAGGATAGAGTGTAAAAAGTGAATCCCTCTTCTACACTTTCTTCCTAGTTATCCAGTTCCTCAGCCCAGAACAACCACTGTTGCTGGTTTCCTGCATGTCCTTCCAAAGATATTATATCCATATTTAAGCAAATACAGAGATATCCTCTTTTTTTTACACAGATGGTAGCTTACTACATACACTGGTCTTTACTGTAATTTTTTAATAAACAATGGATCTTAAAGTGTATTCCATATGAATAAAGTCACTTCATTCTTTTTAATAGGCAAATGGCATTCTAATATATAAACATACTACGATTTATGTAAATAGTCTCCTATTAATGGAAATTTAGATTGACTCTAATTTTTGCTTCTGCAAATAATGCTGCAATTAATATTCTTGTGACATAACTTTTTAATGTAATATGCATTCTAGTCAGGAAATTCTAGAATTCTGTTTTCAACTCTCAATTTTGTGCATTTGTAATTCTACATACCAATTTTCTTTTAAAAACAACAGATGCTTACAAAGGTATGCCTAAAATTCTATATTGAAATAACAATTTCAAAACTTCTGGGCAGAGTGAACTGCGATGACAAGTGTTGTCCTTGTCAAGATGGCAAAGTGCCACCTTAGGAACAATTTTTTATTCTATATTAAGTGCTCATTTTTCTTGAAATTCCTATGTCGGCCAAATGCAGTGAAAGCAGGGAAGCCATGCAGTCTGATTCAGGTAGAAAACCAAGCACATGACTGCACAACACAAGCATATTGAAACTGTGCTGTTCTGGCTCTCTGGTGGCCTCCCACAAATGCTGAAAAAGAGTCATGCTGCTCGTGTGGAATCCTGTGGTAACTCATCAAAAGAAAGAAGCTCTGGGATTGGTCAGCAGCACATATCTCATATACTCTAGTTTCCTTTCCCTAAGAAGTTGGTATTAAGAAGCAATTCTAACCAGTCACTAAAGCACATGCTCTAGAATAAATGTTATCCCGATGTATCTGTCTTACATAGGTCATGTGCTTAGGAAATGGTTGTTTAGAGTAATGGTATTAAGGAAATCTTACATTTCACAGGTTGTTGGAATTAACCAGAACTTTTCTGAAAAACATAAAGAAACTGTGAGTGAAAAATCACAGTAGGCACCTGACTATGTGAGTGAAGTTCTTCAACTACAGGAAATTAAGTGCTGGCCAAAGAGCTGAAGATGAAGGTGCTTCTGAAGGACTTCTGACATTGTTTCAACTAAGGTAAGCGTTTTGGCAGAAATGGCAGTCAGGAGACATGAGAAAAAGAGAAATGATTCTCTTGCACCCCCAAGTTTAGCCACTGAGCTCACACATGTTCAATGAGAAAACTGCTAAAGACGCTGCTAGTAAAGCTGTGGATTGAACTAGAAGCAGTTGCCAGGGGGTGTGTGTCAGCTTTGAACATGAGGGTGACCTCCAGTCCCTGGAGGTCTTAGATAAGGTGGCCTGGGCAATTAGAAGTTCCAGGTTGAGGCATCAGGGTCGGATGTTCTGGGCACTTGAAACTCTGTTTTTTTAAGGTTCAAATGTGAATCTAGGTTTGTGGTAGTCTACCAAGGAGCTATATTTTAAAAAGAAGTGCTGACTTTGCAATCATTCTCTCTCACATCCCATCCCATCTCCAACCTGTTCTTTTCAAAGCACTTGCTTTTAACTCGTGAGGCTGTTCCAGGTTTTGCCTGTTAGGGAGTCATAGTCACTCAAAAATTTAAATTATGTGTAATTCAAAGTCATAATTCAAGCTCCAGACTTGATATTATAACTCAAATACCAATTGGCTATACAGAGTTGGTAATAACAAATGTGTCATACTTGGCTGATGCCTATTTTGAAGTTTTACTATTAGACATTGAAAATTTGATCCTCAATTTTACCATTGCAAAATGAAAAGTGGAGTCAGATTACATGATTTCTAACTTTTCTTTCACCAACCTTACATTCTCTGAGTCCATGAAATTTCTTTATTATATATCCTGTTTTCTTTTTAAGTAAATATAACTTGGAATAAAGAAAAGAGGAATTCCCTAATGTTCATTATCTCAGAAATTTTCTTTCAACTCTAATAGTTATCACTTATAATTTTCATACTCTCTTAATAGCAAATAAAAGCCTCATTTACCCAACTATTTGCCCTTTCTAGATAATACTATAATATGTATTTCCACATTCATAACCAACTATTACCACAAATATATGCCTGAAACAAAATTATTCTAAACATTTGCCCAAAAAGGTAGTTCCTCTGCCTCTAAACTTGCCCCTTTTTCCACTCAGTAACATTATAGCCTTCACATTCACACTCACTAAGTCATTTTGGACTTCTCCCTTTTTTTAATTCCATCTTCATCAAGTATATCCAATCGTTCAACAAAAACTTGCTGATTGTTAAGTCACAGAGGCTCACTAACATGTCCCTGTTTTTCTCTCTCTCACTGTTTACTTCATTATTTCATGTCAGTGCTCCCATATAGGTCATTAAACTTGTGTTCCCGCTTCAATTTCTCCCCTTTCCAGACCATCTGATAACCATCACAATGTTGGTTTTCCTAAAATAGGATGTTCTCTATGTCACCTTCTGTTTAAAACCCTTCACAGAGTCCACACTGCATAACCTCCAACTCTCTCTCCTTCCCTTCTTCCCTCTCCTTCTTCGTTCAAGTCTCTGTAATTTAAAGCTTTGCAGCTTTTTTAATCCCTATTTTTCTTTTCTCCCTGGCATTCTCTCTTTGTTTATGCAGTTTCATTGATATTCCCTTCCTTATCCTCTCTGCTTATCAAAATATTATTCATCATCATTGCCCAGCTTAAATTTCCCCTTTTTGAAACTCAAAATCATCTGTGTAGACTTCCCAACCACTCCAATCTAAACAGATTCCTCTGTCCTCTGACTGATCCTTCACTGCATTTCTTACCCATGACACAAAGTTAACACTTGTAAATTCTCTCATTTTCTTTTTGTCTATGCCTTTATCTTCCCAACTACACAGTAGCTGGTAATTAAAAGCAGTATCTTATTCACATAATGGTTCCTGATTCTAGAGTCAAACTGCCTACATTTTAATCATTGTTCTGTTACTTATTGTGGTTTTGGTCTCAGTTTCCTCATCTCTAAAATGGAAATAGTGATAGTTATTCTCTCATAGGGGTTTTAGGAGCATTGTATGAGAGAACACACTCAAGTGCTTAGATCATAGTAAGCATTCACTAAATTTTAGCAATTATAATAATTATGCACGGCTCTTACTGCGAAGGACCTCATACAGTGCCTTACTCTATAACTATGTTTAGTCAATGGAATTTGATTGTTGACTGAGGGGAATAAGGTAGACTGCATGGGCAGTATACTGGGGAGTAGGGGGAATTTCTGGCTTTGCAAAAATCGTGCCAAAAATACCATCAATATTGTTATCAGCCAGCCAGCCAGCCAGTCAGGTTCTTTCTAATTCCCCACCCCTTCCTAATACTGCTCAAGAGACTTTTGAGGGTTTGGTTCAGTAAACTGGAGATACTTTCCCAAAGCCTGCTTCCCTTCCTGCCAAAACCGACCTGACTGCAGAGAGCAGGTTGCCAGACTTCCTAAGGGTCTTAAAGATGGTACTAAAAATGTGGACCAGTGGGCTTTCTTATGCTCAAAATGAAGTCTAGGAGCCAGCTATTCTAATTATTACACCCCAAGACTGGCCTACTGAGGTGGAAAGCAGACTCAGTGAGATGCTCCCCTTCCATCTCCCAAGCAGTGAGAATGCCGATAGCACCAGCCAGTAGAATGCTCTCAGCTGGGGCCCCATCATCAATAGCTAAAGAGCAACAGGTACTGGCCCAAGAGATGAGGGCATCTGTGCTGCTCAACTAAGTCACAAAGGCAGAGAGAAAAAGAACATTAAACTGGAAAATATCAAGTTTGAGCCACAATAAGCATCATGGGTATCACTACCATTAAATAGACCAAGCATATTCAACAAATCCAAGTATAAACCATATATGTTCTATTGAAAACTGTTCAAAGAGGGAAGAAATTTTATTGAAGGTGAAAAAGTGCTATCCAAGGCATCAACTCTGTTCCAATGAAGCAAGTATGTGCTCAGGATGCAAACATCCGAAGCCGTGTAATGTTGGGAAATTTTCCTAACCTCAATTTTCTGACTGCTAAAGGGGATTATAACTTAGCTCACAGGGCTATGGTGAACCATAAATGAGATAATGCAGTTAAATCGGGCTACCTAGTCCAGGGCACAATCTACATAATTCCCCTTCCCTCTCACTCTAGAAGCTGATGCATACTGCCCAAGGCTAGGAGTGAAGCACCTGGTGACAAGTCCACAAGGCGGTGAATAAGATTATTTGAATACTTCTGAATTGTTGACCTAGATTGTGCTGGGTGTTATATAATTCACAGAGGTGAAAGCTCTCTGCTGCCAGTGCTTTTCACACTACTCAGGAGCCCACCTCAGTGAAAAAGGCCGTCTCCTCCCAACCTCCTGAAAAAGATCTAGATTTGTCCTGGCTTTAACCTCGATTTTGATGTGTTGCCAGTAAGGCCGGTTTCCTTGCTGAAAGACGTCCTTCTCCTCGAAGAAATCCCAACAGCTTCATTTAACTTCCTTTATTTGTCTTGATAATGCCGGCTGAGGTTTTACTTCATTAGGGTTTATTGATATTAAGAAACAACCACGGGAAACTTGCCCTAAGAAGGCAGACTCTCGATTTTCTCGACTGCCCAGGGATAATCTATGTTATCGCTGGGTGAAGAAGATGTCGCGGAGCGGACAGAGGCTGGGGGATTGGAGAGGGGAGGTGGGGACCCCGGGGCTGGGCCGGGTTGGGGAATGGGCGCGAGGAGAGGAGGCGCTGGAACCTTAGACAGCCTCAGCGGCTGAGTCGAGCCCGACAGGTTCCAGCAGCTCCCCTCACCGCGCTCCACGCCTCCCGGGTTTTCCCCTCCGCTCAGGGTTTCCTGTTTCAGTTCTCGGTGATCTCCAGCAGCAGGTGCTGGTTTGCCAACGTCGGCTTCAGAAGAGTCAAAGGAGAAGGAAAAGAGGGAAGGGGAGGCGGAAACGGCGTAGCGCCAGCGCCGGCGGCGGCCGCGGGCGGGAGGTGGAGGAGCGAGCAGGCAGGCGGGACGGTCGGGTTTGCTCTTGCCCGCGGGGCATCGGCGCGGGCGGCGCGCCTGAGCCGGGGCCCCGGCGTGTGGCCCGGCGGGCGGCATGGGGGTGCATCCCGCTCTCCCCGCGCCCTAGCGGCGGCCGCGGCGGCCCTGGGCTGAGGCGACAGACGGACGGCCGCTGGAGGGCCACGGGGCTGCCCCGGCTTCCAGGGCGTGTAATGGCTGCTGAGAAGAGACTGCAAGTAGGTTGAGCAATGCGATTGAGCCCGGGTGCGCGCGCGTGTGGGGAGTGAGTTGTGCAACCCCGAGGAGGGGGCGAGGGGGCGCGGGGGCCCCAGCCCGGGGGGGCGGAGGATCGAGGGGGCCGCGATCGCTGCGGGCGCCGCCGCCCGCTCGCCGCCTCCTCGTGCGGTCGGCTACGCCGGGTAGCGGTCCCGCAGGTTTGTCCCTCGGGAAAGGGGGTGGAGAGGGCCCACTGCGGTGAGTGCTGGTCTCGAGGGAGCCGGGATAGGGGAGGGACTCCGGCCGGGAGGCCGCGCCGGAGCGCTGGGCGGAGGGGCCGGTGATGTCCAGGCCCTAACGGGTCGGACGCCCCGCGGTCGAGTCAGTGAGCTCCCGGGACCGCCGGGGCTCCGGTGGAGCCTAGGGGAAAGCCAAGCGCACCGCCCTGCCTGTGGAGCAGCACCGCGGGGATCTCGGGAGAGGCGAGGCCGGTCTCCTCGGCCCGGAGGCCTAGGTGCGGTCCACTCCCGCCCGCCTCGGGGCACAGCGGCCGAAAATGGAGGCGAGCTCGGGCGCCCCAGAGGAAAACGGACCCACAGCCCTGCTCCTGCAGCTCAGACCCTCGCGCGCTCTTGTGCTGGGGCAGCATCCGACACCTCCAGCCCCAGCCATTAGCTTTTATTATCCCTCCATCCTGCATCGCCACCGCCCGCGGGCCGGCCCTAAAGAAAACTCATCCGACCCCGTCCCTCCTGTACCTCTCACGCTTCAGTTCCAGCTCAATTTCCATTTTCACCCAGTGTTCATGTTAGCTGTGCTGGTTTACATTTTTAACTCCGTACAAAGGTGTATTACAAATATAACTTCAAGAGCTGAATCCCGCTTTTCTTCCTTTGACAGCCTCATCCTTCTCCCCTTTTAAGATCCTGAAAAAACAGCTTTACCTTCCAAGGACAGATTACTTTTACTGGGTTTCTTGCCTTTTGGGTAACCGATAACAGTCCTGATTCATGCTCTGTGTTTTGTGATAAAGAGGTGAAATGCTAATTCAGATTTAGTGCAAGTTTTCCTATTGGTTGTAAGACTATTGGAATATCCCCAGGCCCCTTGTTGATTGAGATCTTTTTTGTTTGTTTGTTTGTTTTTGACCATCTTAGAATAGATGAAAAAAATACTAGGGCTACGTATATTTAGAAATTTGGAAAAGTTATTCATTTCTTATTTCATCATATTTTCCTAATTCATATTATAAACAGAAAACAGTGGATATGCCTCAAACATATTTTTCAGACTTTCCAAGAACAACAATTCACAAATACAATTATTTTTATTTTTTAATTTAAATTATGTTCATTGTTTATGCTATTACAGTTGTCCCAATTTTTTCCCTTTTGCCCCCCTCACCCAGCCCCCCCCTCCCTCAGGCAGTCCCCACACCATTTGTCCATGACTATGTGTCATGCATACATGCTCTTTGCAGGTATATTTATATTTTTAAACTCTTAATATATTCAGGGTTCAATGGGTATAACTTCTATTTACTTGATCACTTACATATACAATTAGTTTTGGTAGCAGTTTTTTAATATTGGTGTTCCCTGATGTCTAAATATAAAGAAAAATAGTGGAATCAGCTGTGGACGGTTGGTTCAGTTGGTTGGAGCCTCTTTCCTTGCACCAAAAGGTTGTGGGTTCTGTTCCCGGTCAGGGCGCATTCCTAGGTTTGGGGTTCCATTCCTGGTCAGGGTGGGTAGGAGATGCAGCCTCTCTGTGTTTCTCTCTTTCTCTTCCTCTCTGTAAAGTCAATAAACATATCCTCAGGTGAAGATTAAAAAATAATAATGGAACCAAATATTTGGGAAATTATTTTGGTAACCAGAGGAAAATGCCTATTTCAGACTTGTCTCTCTCTCCACCTCTTTTCTTCCAATTTGGCATTCTTATTTTAAGTTACCGAAATCTGTCTACTTGAAGGTACCCTGAAAATATTAGAAGAGTCAAGTAACTGACTATAATTCAAAATGTTTAATTGGATATTTTTACTTAAGAATTGGTTTTACTTTTCAAAGTAAGTTAGATAGAATTCTGCCTATAGCATCTGGTCATTACAAAAGTACATAAACACTATAAGCAAAGTAAAATGAACTTTTAAACAAAATGACAACAAAAAAGGCCAATATTTCTTAGCCTGCATTTAATAATGGAAGTCTAATGAAACTATTTTATTATAATGGAAAATATTAAAGGATCAGAAACAGAAACTTGGAATGTCTGCATACTTATGAGGATTTTTATTAGTCACTTCCTTTTACTACATTTTGTTTTAATTACAAAACTAATAAAAATATCCTTTATATTAATGACTTTTCTGGAGCTATGTTTTCATGAATTATATTGTCATATTAGACCCCAAGTGGTTAATTGAAATAGTATTTTCTAAATAGTTTTCTCATTCTACAGTTGGGTCACCTTCTCTTCATTTTAGCAGACAAAAATTTTTTCTACATTAATTTTAATTTTTATAACAGGTATAAAGGTGTTGCTCTCATTTTAAAGTTTTTTATGCCATTTTATACCATCTTGTACCCTTAGTGTTTTCCATTGTCCTTATACATAAATCCAGAAGAATTCTACTTTTATTCTAATTTTATTGCAATTTTAAAGAAACAAGTTGTGTAGTAGAATGTGTTTTTGTTTTTCTGGTATTAGAATTTAGGTTTGTAAACTAATCTCAGTTACTGTTCACTTAAGACTGATAAACTACTCTTCCCTCAACAAATAATCATTTAGTGACAGTCTAAGTGCTATGTAAGGCCCTGACATGTAAAAACAAAAAGAGAGATTATGAACCAATAGAACATAATGCTGGATCAAATGTGATCATTGACAGGAGGGAAGAAGTAAAGTCAGGTACTGGGGAGGGTTACATTCCAGGCCTCAAAGGTAGTATTCAGTTACAGGCAGACCTTAAGAGATATTGCGAGATCCGTTCCAAACCACTGCAATAAAGTGAGTGGTGATCTTTTTGCTGGTTTGGGTTTTCCAACATCTGTGAAGTGCAATAAGGTGGGGCACAATAGAATGCCTTAGGTAGGGCTGGGTGGGAGTCACCTCCAAATGAGTACTGTGAGTCAAGGGTCCTGGCAGAAAATCAGGGAGTGGGTAGTCTAGCGTGCCCAGAGCATTCAGTGGTAGGCTTTAATTCAGAGTATTAAGTAACAAGGTCAGTAAATAACAAAAATTTATTAAATCAGGATTCCACATTTATACCTAAAATATTGAATCCTATTTGAATCTCAAATATACCAAATGTTCTAAAAAATCTTCATGTGTTTTAGGAATTAATATGCCTCATGGACCTATAGCATTTAAAAATCTCATGTCTTTACAAAGCTATAATGTTGTGATTCATCAAAAACATGTTATATTCATTGCTGCTATTTCACTATTAACAGTTCAGCAAAATTACCAACAATTGAGAATGTGATGTATTTTTAAAAAAATATTTCATGCCACCATCTATCCAGTGTCCTGGTAATTCAGTATGAGTTTTCTCTCTTTAATTTTTCTCTGTGACAGGATTGTTTTACTTTTCTAAAATGAAAATAGGGAATAATCACCGATGAAGCATAGCATTTATAATCATGCGCCACAACACTGACAGTAATTCTTATGCATCGTGAACTAGCCTAAAGCAAAATCCATGAGCACATTCTGAACATTCAAAGCATTCTACCTTTAGGATAATTTTATCAAATCGCTAACTGTGTATAAGAAATACACAGAAAATCTCAAGGTCTCTCTGCTCGTTTGTCTTGAACATTTTCCCCTAGCACCCCCACCCTGTACCTTTTCTTTGGTTCAGCCTTGTTAAAAAATTCAGGCCTCAGCTTAGATCTCCATAGGTTTACTCCATTGTAGTTTAATAACTTATATCAAGCATCGTTCTAAGTGTTTCACCTGTATTAATGCACTTAATGCTACACTCCTATGAAGAAGTATTTCATGGCTCTTTTCTGATGAGGAAACCAAACCACAATGTGGTTAAATAATTTGATGGTTCTCACAGTGTTGGCAGAGCAAGAGTTCCCAGGCTGAGTGCGTTAACTGAATATTAAGGTCTCTGGAACCTCACATATGTTAATAAATGTGTCTCTTATTCTGAGGATTAGATAATATCATGGAATTATCTTTCTTGGGAGTCTGGTTCTTAAAATACATATCTTTTTCTTGTACAATTGGAATTAGACTTTTTATAGAGCTTTGTGTTCCATCTTCCTTTCCCCTTTCAACACACAGTAAGGATTTTCTTACGCCGTTAAAAATGTTTCAAATGTTATCTTCTTAAGAACATGTTATTTATTTAATCATTCTCCTATGCAGTTAAACTTTTGGGATTTTGGAGGGGCCCAAATTTAAATATCATAATGCTTAAGTTGAACATCCCAGTAAAAAAATTTCTTTCTGTATATGTTTCTCAGCATGGATTCTAAGAAGTAATCATCCAAGATATAGATATACTTTAAGGTTTGTGATGGTCAAAAAGCTTTCCAGAAGAGCTGTACTGATAATACATATACCCATTAGCAAAGAGTGAGTGGTGATTTCATACTGTGTTTGAACACACTAAGAATTAACTTTCAAATTTTTTGAGTTTGTTAAATGAGCATTAATATCTAATTTAAATACTTGCCTACTTATATTTTAATTATGAAAGTAGTACAAGTTGATTAAGAAAAAACAAAGTAAAAAAATTAAAACCACCTGGACTCTTGTTATCCAGAAATATCATGACATTTACAGAAGTAACTTCCGTAAATACAATATTTTCATAAATATTTTCCTGTCAGTGTTTTATTCCTATAGTTATACTTTATAGAATCTTTATTTGGGTTTTAAAGTAAAACATATAAGCACTTCCTAATCTACCAGTTTTATGCAAAATTACTTGCTTAGACCCAGTGTTTTTCAAATACTGTATGTTTTCTCTAACATTTGCATATTTAGTGATAGCTGTTTC